TTATCTTTAATCTGTTATACCAAATGATCCTAAGAATTTTATGTTTGGTTGACGAAAATGGAGGAGGGGAGGGAAGAAATTTTTTTATTTAGTTACTACAAGAATTACAGAGGTGGGGAGTGGAAGAAAGTAATTTACTTTATTTATTTATTTTAATTTATTTATTTATCCTAGAATGAAGCAAAAAGAAATTGAAGAATGTTATAACTCAAGTTGATTAAGATTTCTACGTAATATTTCGATTATTAATAAATCTTTTGAATTTTATAAAAAAGAGAAAAAATCATTCTTGAAACTTATCTCTTTCTTTTCAAACTTTATGGCATGATTGGTTTGGGAAAAATGAAGTGTTAAAATTTTCATTTAATTGGATGAAAAATTCTCCTTCCTTCAAATGTAACATATCCTTACTCCTTTTTCACAATTAAACCATAAAACTTATGTTTTAAAAGATGAATTAGCTTGTCAAGAACATGAGATTTTAAATTTGAATTTTAAATTAAGTGAAAAAAATTTTGAGAAAAGAAAAAAATTATTCATCTTTATATAATCTAGTATCAATCTACCAAAAAATATTAAACTAGAAAACTTTATTACCCAAAAGCAACCCAAAAGGCAACATTGAAATACTAGTAGTTAATATCTTTTAAAAATAAAAATTGAGACTTTTTTTTAATAATATTTATGGTTAGGGAATCTTCAGTTCAACTTGTATGTGCTTTAAGATTCATACCTTCTTGAACAATTTTAAAAATGTATATATTTACACCATAAATTGTAAAAATTTAAGATCATACCACGTGTCGAATATTTTTAAATGGATAGAGGTGATTTAACCATATTAGATATGCAATTCTAAATCCTTTGACAAATCAAGCGCCATATAGGAAAAAAGGAGTTAAAAATATAAGATTTTATTGTTTGGTTGCCTATTTGAGTCACTTTGGATTTGTTTTAGCTGAATTTTAGGAGTTGGTTTCAGTTATGGGTGTGGGTTAGCTGATAATGGACATGTGGTGAAATCTAGAAGGAATTCTGATTCTATCAACTGTTGAGATGTCCCACTTCTTCAAGAAACTGTCTATGATTCTAGTAACTGTAGAAAATAAGAGTTGCAAGCAAGGAGGAAGGGAACAAAAGGAAAATTTTTTATTATTCAACACACAGCTAGCACTACACACAACTTGAGAAAATTTTCAAATTTTCAATTTCTTTGTGATTGCTCACTTTAACTTTCAAATTTTGGATTTCAACACAATTTTCAGTAAATTTAAGTTGTTTTTCATCATTCCAGTCATCAAATTAGTTCGTGTATTTGCTTCAACAATTTCGTTTTATGTAATGAATATCAAGCTTAAAATTTCTATAAGGTACCGTTCTTTTTCTTATTAGCATCAGTTTAATATTTATGATAAGTAGCGTTTAATCAAATAATTACCTATATGACGTTCACGCTTTTTTTCAATTTCGGGCATGTTAGTTTAGTCCCTATTCATATTTGCTTTAGTGTTATTTAGGGTTAGATCTCCAATTCTATAATAGTTTAATTTTCAAATCTGTTTCTAAATAGCATTTTAATCTAACAATGAACATGCTCAATTTAATTTAGGTACATATTGTTCTTGCAAGTTTACTTTAATTTACATATCGTTTTATTAAATTAGAATCAGTTAACTTTGATTCACAATAGTATTTAAGTTCTTAGAGCTGTTCAAGGTAGATTTAATAATTCATTCTGTAGGAATGCATCCCTCCATCTTGCAAATTATCTGTAGGCACATATTTTAACTTTAAACCAACATTTTCCCCCTCATCTGCAAGGAGATAATTAGGAAAATCTTTCTTTTTTATTTTTAGTAAAGTAAGTGATACACTCACATCTAGATTCTATATGTGCGAAACTACTTAAAGATTTTTGAGGAAGCAGTATCTCATACATTAATTTTATATATTTAAAATGTTTATTTTTTTTAATGTTGCCCAAAACTTTTATTTACATTATTTTTATTTAATTAACGAGACAACTAAATCAATCTAAGTAAAAGAAAAATGAAGGATTTTATTTAATAATTTTTTCTTTTTTTATTTTATTCTATTTATTTCTTAATAGTAATGTTCAATCAAGGGAAAAAAAGGGGCCTGCAATCCATTAATTGTTGATTGACACAGAACCAGGCCACCGAAGGCCTTAAATTGGTATTCTCTGTTGCCAGTTGTAAGTTCAATCTTTCTACCAGACAATAAAGTAGCAGTCTGCACCCTGCAGGGTCTAGATTACGGCTTTGATTTTGCCTGATTTTGCCTCAAGTCCCTCAGATTAAAAAAAAAAAGGAAAATCAACCAATTGATCCTTTTAATCATAAAAAATAAAATTAATGAATTCAATTGCCTTGAAGCATAAATGTTCAGGCCAACTACATGTACAGAAGGATCAAGATTCAAGTGTTTTTAACATCTCCCTGGAAGCATTGATTTTGAGATGTGTCCTGCATTCGAATCAATTCCTTATTTGAGTGTTTAAGATGTTAAGTAAATGAAAATATATACAGAAAGTAGTGCATATTCCGTCTTAATTTTTAAAAATTAAGATAAAAATTATTTTAAAATTATGTTAAATTAATAAATTATTATTAAGAAAATTAAAATATTTAATTTT